CCCGCGCTGCAGGGTAAAACAAAATTGGCTGACCATGTTAAATTTAATCTGGCAAAATTAACAGAGGCACGGGATGCTGCCATGCAAAATTCTCCGTTGTGCTCGCCTAATGTCTTGCCGGCTGTGCCACCTCCAGGTGCATCAAGAGTGACGGGCTCGCGCCCGATCACCCCTCCTGGGGATGCCAAGGGTCACGCGGCATCGGATGAGGACTCACTCCGAGACGGACAGTTACCACCCGACGGTCCGCCACCCGGGGTTACCCCGTGTGATGGGCCCGCTGCAAGGACGCGTGCAAAAATATTTAGACTATTGTGAGGCCGGAAGATATGTACATATATTGTGTTCATTGTGTGTTGTGTGAGTGGTGTGTTCCCTGCTCATTGGATGTACATATAATGTGTTCACTATGTGTGTGTGTGTGGTGGGTTCCCTGCAAATTGTATATAGGCTGCTTTTACGGAATTCGTATTTATTCGGGGGGGGTGCGTCGGGTTATTTCTCTTCTTGCTGTTGTTCTTGTTGTTGTTCTTGTTGTTGTTCTTGTTATTGTTGAAAAATTGTGAGGCACACGCACGGTCTGGGGGTGCGTTTGGCAGCCGGGACGGCTGCAAGCTATGCGGGGGGGGGGGGGGGGGTGATGTAGGGGTGTTAGAGAGAGCCCGTTATGCATGGGAGCTTATGGCAAACAAACACAGTGGGCGGGGCTACATGAGTGCACGGGAAGGTGCTCTCTACGACGTCCGCGTCAGGCACCCTGGGGGGCTGACTCGGAGTTATGATCCCCTGGGGCCCCACCCCTCAGCGAGGGGGTTGGGTATAAAAGGGGATGTGTCGGAGGGCTAAGGGGGAGAATGTTAAGCTAACCAGTGAAGACTGAAGACGTCTTAGATAGAGCCCTGGACTCCCCTGGTTCGCCGTCCTTATCAGGGCCTAACAGGACCGAGCCAGCGGCGTGGTCCCGAGAGCCAGAGCCAGTGCTCTTGTAAGAGCTGGTCTGGGACTCCGGGTACCGGGCCCGACTTACCAGTGTCGGGCCAGCTAGCCTCCCCTAGCCCGTTAGTGGAGGACTAGGAGGCAGGCTAGGAGTAGCTAGGACGTGTATCCTCAGATAGTCGGGTGAGGGGGCCGATACCCCCTCTAGTGTTGTATGCCACGAACGTGCTGTGTTAAATAAACCCGTGTGCCTCCAACTCCGGCGTCCAAGAGTCGTGAACGCTACTACACAACCACAACAACAACCACAACAACCAAAACAACAACCACAGCAACCACAACAATCAAAACAACAACCACAACAACAACCACAACAACCCCAACAACCACAACAACCCCAACAACCGCAGCAACCCCAAACAGGAGGACGACTTCTCCGCCAATGTGTCTGTCGCCTGGTGAAGCCGCTTGCCGTCGCCGTGATCGCTGCTGAGACGTCACGGCACTCGGGCAGGAGATGTCGTGGATTTGCTGTCCGACACACGACCGCCGAGTGCCGTATTAGTGCCGTGAGCCCAGCGGCGAGGGAGAGCCGCTACTTGAGGCGACACTTGCATTGAACAATGACTCAACACAAGGTCGCTAACGCCAAAGGGGCTAACGGCCCCTGTCACCCACTGCTTGGGGAGGTACGGCCCCTGGGCTATCGAGCCTCCTCCTGACGCCGGGACGGCTCTCCGCCCTCCGGCTAGAGGCCCCGGCGGGGGGGGGGGGGGGGGGGGGGGGGGGAGGCTGTCCTGACCCGGCCCAGCCACGGCGCTCGGGTGCCGGCTACTGACCCACTCAGTGCCGGCCGTTAGAACGGCGGCAGGTCTGGGGGTCTACCCAGTGTCTGACCGCTCTCCCACTCAGTCCTTAGAAGGGCGGCAGGTCTGGGGGTCTACCCAGGCTCCTACCGCTCTCCCCCTCAGTCCCTAGAAGGGCGGCAGGTCTGGGGGTCTACCCAGTGTCTGACCGCTCTCCCACTCAGTCCTTAGAAGGACGGCAGGTCTGGGGGTCTACCCAGGCTCCTACCACTGACACACTCAGCACTTAGAAGGGCAGCAGGTCTGGGGGTCTACCGAGGCTCCTACCGCTGTCCCACTCAGTCCTTAGAAGGACGGCAGGTCTGGGAGTCTACCCAGGCTCCTACCGCTCTCCCACTCAGCCCTTAGAAGGACGGCAGGTCTGGGAGTCTACCCAGGCTCCTACCGCTGTCCCACTCAGCCCTTAGAAGGACGGCAGGTCTGGGGGTCTACCCAGTGTCTGACCGCTCTCCCACTCAGTTCTTAGAAGGACGGCAGGTCTGGGGGTCTACCCAGGCTCCTACCGCTGTCCCACTCAACCCTTAAAAGGACGGCAGGTCTGGGGGTCTACGCAGGCTCCTACCGCTGTCCCACTCAGCCCTTAAAAGGACGGCAGGTCTGGGGGTCTACGCAGGCTCTTATCGCTGTCCCACTCAGCGCTTAGAAGGGCGGCAGGTCTGGGGGTCTACCCAGGCTCCTACCGCTGTCCCACTCAGCGCTTAGAAGGGCGGCAGGTCTGGGGGTCTACCCAGGCTCCTACTGCTGACACACTCAGCCCTTAGAAGGACAGCAGGTCTGGGGGTCTACCCAGGCTCCTACTGGTGACACACTCAGCGCTTAGAAGGACGGCAGGTCTGGGGGTCTACCCAGGCTCCTACCGCTCTCCCACTCAGTCCCTAGAAGGACGGCAGGTCTGGGGGTCTACCCAGGCTCCTACTGCTGTCCTACTCAGTCCTTAGAAGGGCGGCAGGTCTGGGGGTCTACCCAGGCTTCTATCGCTGAAACACTCAGCGCTTAGAACGACGGCAGGTCTGGGGGTCTACCCAGGCTCCTACCGCTGACACACTCAGCACTTAGAACGACGGCAGGTCTGGGGGTCTACCCAGGCTCCTACTGCTGACACACTCAGCGCTTAGAAGGATGGCAGGTCTGGGGGTCTACCCAGGCTCCTACCGCTGACACACTCAGCGCTTAGAACGGCGGCAGGTCTGGGGGTCTACCCAGGCTCCTACCGCTGACACACTCAGCCCTTAAAAGGGTGGCAGGTCTGGGGTCTACCCAGGCTCCTACCGCTGTCCCACTCAGTGCTTAGAAGGGCGTCAGGTCTGGGGGTCTACCCAGGCTCCTACCGCTGTCCCACTCAGCGCTTAGAACGACGGAAGGTCTGGGGGTCTACACAGGCTCCTATCGCTGACACACTCAGCGCTTAGAAGGATGGCAGGTCTGGGGGTCTACCCAGGCTCCTACCGCTGACCCACTCAGCGCTTAGAAGGGCGGCAGGTCTGGGGGTCTACCCAGGCTCCTACCGCTGACACACTCAGCGCTTAGAAGGATGGCAGGTCTGGGGGTCTACCCAGGCTCCTACCGCTGTCCCACTCAGTCCCTAGAAGGACGGCAGGTCTGGGGGTCTACCCAGGCTCCTACCGCTGACACACTCAGTCCCTAGAAGGGCGGCAGGTCTGGGGGTCTACCCAGGCTCCTACCGCTGACCCACTCAGCGCTTAGAAGGATGGCAGGTCTGGGGGTCTACCCAGGCTCCTACCGCTGTCCCACTTCCCTAGAAGGACGGCAGGTCTGGGGGTCTACCCAGGCTCCTACCACTGACACACTCAGCCCTTAGAACGACGGCAGGTCTGGGGGTCTACCCAGGCTCCTACTCTAAGCCCGGTCTTCGGCTTGGCGACGACTGCCGACCCCGTTGAGGGGTCCGGCGTTTATTCACCCTCCAGGGTGTCTCCCCCCCTGGCCACTCCTCCCTTCCGGAGACTTCTCGGGATCCTAGAATATTCCCCCCCCCAGCCCCCCCCCCCCCTCATGGGGTCTGGGGAATCCAAGCGGCCCACAACCACCCCCTGCTGACGTACGTCTGCTACTGCAGGTGAGTTACCACAGTTTGTTCATGGCGCTACACTATACACTACACTATACACTACACTATACACTACACTATACACTACACTATACACAACACTATACACTACTACACTACACAATACACTACACTATACACTACACTATACACTACACTATACACTACTATACACTACACTATACACTACACTATACACTACACAATACACTACACTATACACTACACTATACACTACTATACACTACACTATACACTACACTATACACTACTATACACTACACTACTGTAGGGCTGTTATGGAGGGGCTGTTTGTACATAGGATCAAACGGCGAACAAACACAGTGGGCGGAGCTCCGGGAGTAAACGGGGGGGGGTGCCCGCAACGACGTCCGCATCGGGCAGCCTGGGGGTAGGGCTGCCCGGGGTTGTGATCCTGGAGGGGGTATAAAAGGGGATGACAGAGAGAGCTCGGGGCTCAGTATTAGAACAGAGGAGGGAAGATTGAAGACCCGGGTAGCTAGAGCCCTGGACTCCCCTGAGACGCCGCCCTTGTCAGGGCCGCGCAGGACCGAGCCAGCGGCGTGGTCCCGTGAACCAGAGTCAGCACTCTGGGATTCCGGGTACCGTAGCCCGACTCACCAGTGTCGGGCCAGACAGCCTCCCCTAGCCCGTTAGTGGAGGACTTGGGGGTAGGTCAGGGATAGCTAGCGGTGTATCCCCAGTTATACGGGTGAGGGGGCCGATACCCCCTCTAGTGCTGTCCTGTCGTGACGACTTGTAAAATAAATACACGTGTGCCTCAACCTCGGTGTCAAGCGTCCTCACCGGTACTTCACTACTATACAGTACACTACTATACACTACACTACTATACACTACACTACTATACACTACACTATACACTACTATGCTGGTAGCCACCCACCCCTCGTGTGTGGCCACAGCGCCGGTAGCCTCCACAGGCGCCGCTGCTGCTACTCACTAACGGCACTTGCCCCTGCAGCCTGCGAAGGCTACGCTGTGGGGGGAATCTTCGTCTGTGTACCAGCGTTGGCCCGCTCGCCGCTAACGCCACTTGCCGCGACGGTCCGCCGAGGCTACCCGGGGCGTCTTTGTCTGTGCGGCAGCTACGGCAAGCTGCGTGTGCCGGGTGACTGGCTGGAGGTGGACGCGGTGAGCGGCGTGGTGAGCACCGCGGCGGAGATCGACCGTGAGTCGCCCCTGGTGCGGGACAGCGTCTACACAGCCACCTTCCTGGCCACTGACAACGGTGCGGGGTTACACTACACTATACACTACTATACACTACACTATACACTACACTACACTACTATACACTACACTATACACTACACTATACACTATACTATATACTACTATACACTACACTATACACTACACTATGGTGCGGGACAGCGTCTACACAGCCACCTTCCTGGCCACTGACAACGGTGCGGGGTTAGGGGGGGGGCCTGTAGCCACGCTCACCACTCACACTCACCCTCACCACTCACACCGTCACACCACTCACACTCACCACTCACCACTCACGCTCCCCGCTCACCACTCACGCTCACACTCACCACTCACACCGTCACACCACTCACGCTCACCACCCACACTCACCACTCACCCTCACCACTCACCACTCACACACACTCACCACTCACACTCACCGTCACACTCACACCATCACACTCACCGTCACACTCACACACACTCACCACTCACACTCACCGTGACACTCACACCATCACACTCACCGTCACACTCACCCTCACCACTCACACTCACCACTCACACACACTCACACACACTCACACCACTCACCACTCACACCATCACACTCACACTCACCCTCACCACTCACACTCACCACTCACACAGTCACACTCACACTCACCCTCACCACTCACACTCACCACTCACACAGTCACACTCACACACACTCACACCACTCACCACTCACCGTCACACTCACCGTCACACTCACCGTCACCATCACGGTCACCGTCGCCGTGCGTGTGTACGTGTGTAGAGAGTCACTTCTGAGACGCTAGTGGCGGTAGGAGGCACACACACACACGCTCACCACTCACACCGTCACACTCACACACACTCACATTCACCACTCACCGTCACACTCACCGTCGCTGTGCGTGTGTACGTGTGTAGAGAGTCACTTCTGAGATGCTAGTGGTAGTAGGAGGCACACACTGACACACGCACACACGTTCACCACTCACACACACTCACACTCACCACTCACACCGTCACACACACACGCACACACACACACGTTTAGTCGACACTTGTAGACAACTCTGTTCACACACGGGGTCACTGCGGGCGTGTCGGCACGGCCGGCGTGCTGCCCGACCCGCCACGCCGCTCACCAGGAGCGAGGACGCGGGGGGAGGGCGCCGCTACGGGGACCACGTCCCAGCAGACGGCCCCGAACCAGCCTCGCGACCTCCCTTTTATACCCCGCCCCGCCCCGCGCGGCCTGGCTCCGCCAGAGGTCGCAAACGGGTTTTGATTCCGTACCCCCCGTACCCGTACCTGGTCGCACCAGGGTCGCAAACGGGTACCCGATTGCGACCTCTGGGATGAAGCCACGTTGCAAGCGCGGGTGGGTTGATTCTAGGAACTTGAATTGTGAGAAGAGACAAGACGTTGGGAAATGAGTGACAAAAAGGTACCTGTTACCCGTACCCTTCCCGTACCCGTACCCTACCCGTACCCGTCCGGGTACGGGTAGGGTACGGGTATCGGGTACCTGATTGCGACCTCTGGGATGAAGCCATGTTGCAGGCGCGGGTGGGTTGATTCTAGGAACTTGAATTGTGAGAAGAGACAAGACGTTGGGAAATGAGTGACAAACGGTGACTCACCAGTGACTCACGGTCTACCCGTACCCGTACCCGGCCGCACCAGGGTCGCAAACGGGTACCTGGGTACGGGTAGCTGGGTATCGGGTCGGGTACGAGTATCGGGGGGTACCTGGTTGCGACCTCTGGGCTCCGTCCTCGGCCCCACCCCCTTCTGGAAGCTACCAGAAGGGGGCGGGGCCACGCACCACGTGTCCCAACTGTCACCTCTGGGCCACGCCCCTTGCTCGGCCAATCACGTGCCGCCTATCACGTGGTGCCCTGCCAGCCAAGCGGGCTGCTAGCAGAACTGCGCCCCCTAGGGACCCGCTCCGTGACATTGCGTGGCCCTGCCGCTAGTAACCACCTTCACTACATTCTGTGTGTGTGCGTGTGTGTGTGTACGTGTGTGTGTGTACGTGTGTGTCTGCGTGTACGTGTGTCTGCATGTGTCTGCGTGTACGTGTGTGTACGTGCGTGTGTGTGTGTACGTGTGTGTTTGTACGTGTGTGTGTGTACGTATGTGTGTGTGTACGTGTGTGTACGTGTGTACGTGTGTGTACGTGTGTGTGTGTACGTGTGTGTGTATACGTGTGTGTATACGTACGTGTGTGTACGTGTGTGTGTGTACACGTGTGTGTGTGTACGTGTGTGTATGTACGTGTGTGTGTACGTGTGTATGTGCGTGTGTGTGTGTGCGTGTGTGTACATGTGTACGTGTGTGTGTGTACGTGTGTGTGCGTGTACGTGTGTGTCTGCGTGTACGTGTGTGTGTATGTGTGTGTGTGTACGTGTGTGTGTGTGCGTGTACGTGTGTGTGTATGTGTGTGTGTACGTGTGTGTGTGTGCGTGTGTGTGTGTACGTGTGTGTGTGTGTACACGTGTGTGTGTGTACGTGTGTGTGTACACGTGTGTGTGTACACGTGTGTGTGTACGTGTGTGTGTGTGTACATGTGTGTGTGTACGTGTGTACGTGTGTGTATGTGTGTGTGTGTACGTGTGTGTGTGCGTGTACATGTGTGTGCGTGTACGTGTGTACGTGTGTGTGTACACGTGTGTGTGTGTACGTGTGTGTGTACGTGTGTGTGTACGTGTGTGTGTGTGTACGTGTGTGTATGTGTGTGTGTGTATACGTGTGTGTGTGTACGTGTGTGTGTGTGTACACGTGTGTGTGTGTACGTGTGTGTGTACGTGTGTGTGTGCACGTGTGTGTGTGTGTGTGTACGTGTGTGTGTGTGTGTACGTGTGTGTGTGTGTGTACGTGTGTGTGTGCGTGTACGTGTGTGTGCGTGTACGTGTGTACGTGTGCGTGTGTACGTGTGTGTGTACGTGTGTGTGTACGTGTGTGTGTACGTGTGTGTACGTGTGTGTGTACGTGTGTATGTGTACGTGTGTGTGTGTACGTGTGTGTATGTACGTGTGTGTGTGTGTATACGTGTGTGTGTGTACACGTGTGTGTGTGTGGAGCAGGCTCCCCCGCCAGCGCTAGCGGCACCTCCACGCTGCGGCTGTTGCTGAGCGACGTCAACGACAACGCCCCCACGGCCGCCGTGTGGCCCCCAGGGGCGGCCGCCTGCCCCCACGGCGGCGTCACCGTCATGGCCGCCGACGAAGACCAGGACCCCAACGGCCGCCCCTTCCGCTTCCAGCTGGCGCCCGGGGTGGGGGGAGACAAGTGGAAGGTGCGGCAGGTGGACGGTGAGTGGCGGGGGGGGGAACACGCCGCTCGGGAGATGGCGCTCGCCGTCGTCGTCATCATCATCATTGTCGTCATCGTCGTCATCATCATCATCATCGTCACCGTCATCATCATCACCATCATCATCATCGTCACCGTCATCATCGTCACCATCATCATCGTCGTCGTCGTCATCATCATCGTCATCATCATCATCGTCATCATCATCGTCATCATCATCGTCATTGTCGTCATCATCGTCATCAACGTCGTCATCATCATTTACATTGACATTGTTGTTGTTCCCGTTGTTGTTGTTTGTTGTTGTTGTTTACTTCCCCCCCACCGCCCCCCCCCCCCACGGCAGCCAACAGCTCCCAGCTGCTGGCCAGGTCTCCGCTGCCCGAGGGCCTCCACTGGGTGGAGCTCGTCGTCTGGGACTCGGGGACTCCGCCACTGGGCGCCGTGCGCCGCCTGCAGGTGCCCGTCTGCGCCGCCTGCGACCACCGCGGCCTCTGTCGCCGCGGCGACGGAGCCGGAGCCAGCGCCGTCGCCGTGGCGACCATCGTCGTGTTGGTGATCTTACTGGGTCAGCTGCTCACTCAGTCAGTCACTCACTTACTCACTTATACACTCACTCACTCAGTCACTCACTTACACACTTACTCACTTACTTACTCGCTCACTTACTCGCTTATACACTCACACACTCACTCACTCACTCACACACTCAACACACTCACTCACTTCTCACTCACTCACACACTCACTCACACACTCACTCACTCCTCACTCACTTACTTACTCACTCACTCACTTACTCGCTTATGCACTCACTCACACACTCACTCACTTACTCACTCACTCACACACTCACTCACTCACTTACTCACTCACTCACACACTCACTCACTCACTCACCCACTCACTCACTCAGTCACTCACTCAGTCACTCACTTTATCAGTCACTTACTCACACACTCACTTACTTACTTACTCACTTACTCGCTTATACACTCACACACTCACTCACTTACTCACTCACTCACACACACACTCACTCACACACTCACTCAGTCAGTCACTCACTCACTTATACACTCACTCACTCAGTCACTCACTCAGTCACTCACTTACTTTATCAGTCACTCACTCACACACTCACTTACTTACTCACTCACACACTCACTCCTCACTCACTCACTCACACACTCACTCACTCACTTACTCGCTTATACACTCACACACTCACTCACTTACTCACTCACTCACACACTCACTCACTCACTTACTCACTCACTCACACACTCACCTACCCCTCCTCCCTCTCCTCCTCCTCCCTCCCCCCACTCCTCACCCTGACCCACGACCCCCGCTCCGACCCCGTGACCCCCGCCCCTCACCCTGACCCATGACCCCGCTCCGACCCCGTGACCCCCGCCCCACGCTCCTCACCCTGACCCACGACCCCCGCTCCGACCCCGTGACCCCCGCCCCCTGCCCCTCACCCTGACCCACGACCCCCGCTCCGACCCCGTGACCCCCGCCCCTCCTCCACCCAGGCCTCCTCGGCTCCCTCCTCCTGGCGGTGGCGTTCAAGCGCCGTCGCCACGGAGACAAAGCGGGGAGGTGGAGCCTCGCGGAGCTGCACGGTGACCTCACGGTAACCCCACCCACAGTGACCCCACGGTGACCCCACGGTAACCCCACCCACGGTGACCCCACGGTAACCCCACTCACGGTGACCCCACGGTGACCCCGCCGTGTTGAGGTCGTGTTGAGGTCGTGTTGAGGTCGTGTTGAGGTCGTGGTGTCTGCACTGCAGGACTACGATCCGACGTTGCTGCTCCTGGAAACAGCGTCACCACCGTCACCACCGTCACCACCGTCACCACCGCCACCACCGCCACCACCGCCACCACCGCCACCACCGTCATTGTCACCGTCATTGTCACCGTCGTGCGGCGATTGTCCCGGATCACTCCCCCTGAGAGAACCATTGCAGCCTTCATCAGCAAGGTTAGTACCACCACCACCATCACCACCATCACCACCATCACCACCACCATCACCACCACCATCACCACCACCACCATCACCGTCACCATCACCACCACCACCACCACCATCACCACCATCACCACCACTACCACTAACACCATCACCATCACCACCACCATCACCACCATCACCATCACCACCACCATCACCACCACCACCACCACCACCATCACCACCACCACCATCACCACCACCCCCCATCACCGTCACCACCATCCACCACCACCACCATCACCACCATCACCACCATCACCATCACCACCACCATCACCACCATCACCACCATCACCACCACCATCACCACCACCACCATCACCACCACCATCACCACCATCACCACCATCACCACCACCATCACCACCACCACCATCACCACCACCATCACCACCATCACCACCATCACCACCACCACCACCATCACCACCACCACCATCCACCACCATCACCACCACCACCACCACCATCACCACCATCACCACCACCACCATCACCACCACCACCACCACCATCACCACCATCACCACCACCACCATCACCACCACCACCACCATCACCACCACCACCATCACCACCACCACCACCATCACCACCACATCACCATCACCAACCACCACCACACCATCACCACCACCACCATCACCACCACCACCCATCACCACCACCACCACCATCACCACCATCACCACCACCACCATCACCCCACCACCACCATCACCACCACCATCATACCACCACCACCACCATCACCACCACCATCACCACCATCACCACCATCACCACCACCATCACCACCACCATCATCACCATCACCACCACCACCATCACCACCATCACCACCACCATCACCACCACCATCATCACCATCACCACCACCACCATCACCACCACCACCATCACCACCACCACCATCACCACCACCACCATCACCACCACCATCACCATCACCACCACCACCACCATCACCACCACCACTCACTTGAACACCACCACCACCACTCACTTGAACAGCACCACCACCACTCACTTGAACACCACCACCACTCACTTGAACATCACCACCACCACCACTCACTTGAACACCACCACCACCACTCACTTGAACACCACCATCACCACCACCACCACTCACTTGAACACCACCACCACCACCGCCTGCAGGGTTTGCGTGCGGCCGACGACGATGAGATGGCACCGCCGTACGACTCGCTGGCCGTGTTCGCGTACGAGGGCTCCGGCTCCGAGGCCGGCTCACTCAGCTCACTCGGATCACTCAGCTGACTCAGCTGACTCAGCTCAACTCGGATCACTCAGCTGACTCACTACTCACTCGGATCACTCAGCTGACTCGGCTGACTCAGCTGACATTCAACTCACTCGGATCCTCAAACTCACTCGGATCCTCAATGCCGGGGACGTTCCTAGCACGCTGGAGACGCAGATTGAGAACATTCACCACCAACCTACTACTAACATTCCACCACTACTACTACTAACACTCACTAACACTCCACCGCCACCACTACCACCACTAACATTCACCACCACCACTCCTACTACCGACTACCACTACTACCACTACCACTCACCACCACTACTACTAACACTCACTACACTCACCGCCACCACTAACATTCACCACCACCACTCCTACTACCACTACTACTACTACCACTACCCACTCACCACTACTACTACTAACACTCCACTACCACCACTAACATTCACCACCACCACTCCTACTATACTACCACTACTACCACTACCACTCACCACCACTCCTACTAACACTCACTAACACTCACCACCACCACTACCACCACTAACATTCACCACCACCACTCCTACTACTAATACCACTACTACTACTACCACTCACCACCACTACTTACTACTAACACTCACTAAACACTCACCCTACCACCACTAACATTCACCACCACCACTACTACTACCACTACTACTAACTACCACTCACCACCACTACTACTACTACTAACATCACCACCACCACTACCACCACTAACATTCACCACCACCACTCCTACTACTACTACCACTACTACTACTACCACTCACCACCACTACTACTACTAACACTCACCACACCACTACCACCACTAACATTCACACCACCACTCCTACTACTACTACCACTACTACCACTACCACTCACCACCACCACTACTACTACCACTACTACCACACTACCACTCACCACCACTACTACTACT